TCCACCCTCTTCTCAGCAGCCCCTGGGGAAGGAAGCAGCTGGGAGGCGGGACCCTCCGGCTGCAAGGGAGGGAAAGCAGCTGCCGCGGAGCCACCCGGCTGGAATGCAAGCCCCCCGTGCAGGAGCCGAGCTCAGGAAGCCCGGGGGCCCGTCTGGCCCTGCAGCCCCTCTCCCGTGGCCACTGGGTGCCCTGCTGGGAGGCCCACAGGCGGGACATGAGCCCACGGCAGGCCCGCCTCCGAGACCAGGGACGGTGTGGAGCCAGCCAGCCAGCGTAGCCGCCTCCGTCAGTTGCCAGCCCCCTGCTCAGAGGTGCCCGGCTCATGCAGAGAAGCCCAGGTTGCGGCTGCAGCGATCCAGGCAGCGCGAACGGGGAAGGGGAAGGAGCCCGTGTGCTCTCTTCTGGCAGGTGCGCGCCCTCCAGGAGCCTCTCCTCCCATGCGGACCTGCCCGGGCACTCGACGGCCCTTCCCTGGCAGCCACCGGAAGGGCGGAGGGCCTTTTCTGCTGTGGAAGACGCCTCCCAGGGGGTCCTCCTGGCTCCCATCTTGGTCTGTACCCCTATTTTAGACCCAAGATGTAAGCTTTTATAGTGCATTGTCCCTCGCATTTTCTGGCTGCGATGGTCACGACCTGTCCAGAGAGTGTGGAGATGGAATGCATAAATATGTAGAACCCGCTATTCCTGCCCTCATCCAGGGATGGCCACCAGCCCCCTGACCTCTGGCCAGGAGGGCTGGTGGGCAAGACGTCCGGAGGGGATGCGGCTGGGGACGGCTGGGCCCAAGGACCTGGGGTTGGGAAGGCGCTTCACCCGGGACCCTGGAGAGCGACTGCTGGTCGGTCAGGGCTTGACGTGCTCCAGCGTCCAGTTCCTGGCCATACTTTCCCACGTTCTGCAATGGCGGAGCTGGACTGCGAGGCCACCTGAGGGACGTGGGCCTCACCACCACGACCTTCCCTGGGCCTGCGTCCCCCAGCCGTCTCTTCTTGGGGGAACAGCCCAGACTTCGACCCCGTCTTGGGACTCCTGCTGCCCACCAGGAGGGAAACAGAGAAAGAAGCGGCGTTCTAGACGCACGGAGGACATGGCTGCTCTTCCCGTCCGTGGGGCTGGCCGCCGGCCTCCAGTGCCCCAAGCAAAATGGCGGCCAAGCCCTCCCCGCTTCCTTGGTTCCTCTGAGGCAGCCGCCTCCCAGCCGTTGCAAAGTTACTGCACCAAAAACACCGGCCAGGGAGAAGCGAGAGCTGAAGCAAGAGGACACCGGAGCGCATAACGCTGGTGCAGCCTCTTTCTCTCCTTGTCTCCAGTGATTGCTCTTAGTAATAGATTATTATGGGTTGCCGTCTCTGTGTAGACAGCCCCCTTCCTCTTGCTTGTTGCCAAGGGAAGCGAGGATGAGATGCTAGATCACACACACGAGTTCCGTTGCTTGCGATCATCACCGTATTAAAAAATCATGCTCGTCACGACGCTGGCAGGACCCGAGTGGCCACCCGCCCGGCCGATGCTGCGAGGTCCCGGGGCGACGGGGCCGCCGCTTCAGGCTGTGGGCTCCCGCCAGCCCAGCTCAGCTCTGGCAGGGGGTGGGCCAGCCACACCTGCTCCCATGACACCACCCCGGCCCCGAGCTGGACGTGGGTGAGACGGGCCATCGCCGCAGGCTTCTCCACGTTCTAGACGGGGCCGGGAGGACTCTCCCAGCCAGCTCAGCTGCACGTGCTTTTCCTGGCCCAGCGCGTGCCTGCTTCCTCGAGGACGAGGAGCTGCTACCATGACACCCTGGCCTCTTGCCCCCTGCTTTTCTGTCCATGTACTGGGAAGTCCTGCGTGGGTTTTCCCGGCCTTTGCCCTCCCTCTGCTAGCTCCCAACGTCAGATTTCAGGTTACAGGCTTTATTTAATTGATTTATACCCTGCTTTTTTCTTGCAACAAACTCAAAGCGCCTTCCGTCGTTCTCCTCTTGCTCTCCAGCTTATCCCCACAATGACCCAGAGATCCCCCGCGTGAACAAGGGACTCCCCCCAGGGCCAATACCTTCAGGGGCTGGGCTTGCGGGCCACACAGAGTATCAGGGCAGGACGAGTGCTTAGATGCGCCATCCAAATAATGCCCATTTTAGCAACCTAGAAGAAAGAGCAAAATTCAGGACGGAGCCATTGCTGAGTGGCAGGTGGCTGCATCTTGTCTTGCCTTGTTTTGGGGGGGGGAGGGGTTCCCAGAGTATTCATTCCTTCACTTCACCATGCGAGTTTGCCTATAGTCAAAGCTCTCAGGGCACTGTGCATAAATACAAAATAAAATGCCGGAACATCGATACAATCTAGTTAAATACAATAAAACTCCCCTAAGAGAATCGACAAGCTCAACCGAAAACAAAGATCCAAACATCAAAACTAAGCAATGCTAAAACATATCCACACCGAGGCTAAAAAACCCACACGCAACAGCTGCAATAAACCTGAAAGACACACAACACAGCAGCAGTGAAATCTACCGCAACTTTAAAGGCCTAAGTCTTTGCATGGCATTGGAAAATCAATGAAGGACAACCCTGGGCATATTTCCAGTTAAGACAATCTCAACGAGAGGACTGGAAATGGGGTTTCTTTGCCAAAGTAGGGCAGGCGAACATTCCCCAGCCTTGTGTCACCGCCCCCCCCCCACGGGTTGGACCACAAGGCCCCCTGGTGCCAGCCAGCATGGCTGTTTCGATGCACAGCTTTGCTGTTCCAGCCCATACACGCACCCAGAAGCAGAAATTCACACTTGCCCAAATTCTGCAGCTCAGTTCTCGAATCATGCGACCCGACACGAATGTCATAGAGAAAGATGGACCTGGCATTACGCCTGCCAGCAAGAACGACATTCATGGATCCATGCGCCTTGGGAACTGTGCCTATTGGGCAAGAGTGCAGGACATGTGCATTTGGGGACGGACGTGCAGAAATGCATGATGAGCCACATGAAAACTTCCTTTCAGAATCCTCCAAGTTCAGGTAGGGACCAAATAAGACCAAAGCACAAGGAAAAACTGAAACGGTCAGATTTGCCTGTCCCTGCTTCTCACGCTCAACAGCCAGAAAAAAACCAGCTGTGCAAACACAGCCCTGGTGAGCCAACTGCCCATCCCCGCCCAGGATGGGCTCCGTGCGCACCCTCGTAACTCTGGAAGACCATGACCCTGGGCTGCATTTCGGGGGCAGGCCGGCCCCAGCAGCACAAATTTTGCCCCCCACCCCTTCTCCACGGCCCGGTGCCCCTCCAGGAAGCACATTTGCACCAAGAGAGCCAGAACGAAGCCATGTTTTGGCTCAGAAGCTAATCCCCTTACAAATCTGTCTGTCTGTCAGTCTAATCTAGATGATGCTCCAGGCTGCAAATGAACCAGCACAGCCTGGCTCTCTTACATAAACTGTCCCGCCGGCCCTGCCCTTCTGCCTCTCCCTGGAGCCTGTCCCCCAGTTCTTGAAAGCTGGGCCGTGATTTGCCACGGAAGCAAAAGGGGAACGCGACTCCCGGCCCCCAACCGTTTTGCGCAGTGCCTCACCGGGCAGCCCCCGACCCTCCCAGTGCTCCAAACCGCACGTGCCCCCCGAGCCTGTCCGTGGAGGGATTTGGCTCCATGACCAGGAGGAAGTGAGCCTGAGGACATATCCAGACAGAGATCGGAGGATGCTGGGCCCGGTTTTCTCATGCCTGGAAGCACTGTGCAAATTCAACGGCACCAAGGGAGCTGGGGCAACCAACCTCCAGGGAAGGCTGAAGTATTTTTAGTTTTAAGGAATGCTGACCCAGGCTGGCAGGCAGTTGACCAACATTCGCAAAACGGTGGTTTGCTGCGTGGACAGAGAATCAGGCACCCGGCTTCTGCAAAGCCCACCCTTGGGCCGTCCTGCTTGCTCCCGGCTACCCGCGATCTCCCCAACCCGGGGCCCTCCAGGTGTGTTGGACTACACCTCCTATCATGCCCAGCCAGCAAGGACAGAGCACTGGGGCTCTGGCAACCGTCCAAACAGCAGGCCGGCCTGGGTTCAAGGGCTGAGATGCGGAAAGAAAAGTGATGGAAAGGGAGCCAACCGTGGGCAAGCCATGGACCAGCCGGGAAGGGGAGTTGCCCTCTGGCTCCCGGAGAGGGGCACCCGCCAGGCGAAGGGGGGCAGCACAGCATGGAGGCAGAGCAGAGACGTTCCATCCATGCCCCAGGGGGGCAAGGGTCCCTTTTCTCCCTTGCTGGCCGCACCTCCCTACTCCCCCCCCCCCCCGGAGTAACTTGGCGAAAAGTCTGCTGCATTTATTTACTCATTTCTAGCCCTCCCAGTGGCCCAGCCTCTCTTGGATTCCACGGGCATCTTTGCACGGGCAAAGGGTTCCTTTCGATGTCAAAGTAGTTTGCCCAAAGTTTGCCAAGGCATTTGGAGATATAATTGCAACACAGTAAACCAACACACACACACACACTGTTGTGTATTTCCATGTGTGCATGCTCACACCATTTGCTAGCAATGTGCAAGGCATTGAGAAGGCCGAACACAAACCATCCATTTCAGCACCACGAGGCTGTTGCCTCCACGCACCACAGCGGGGGAAGGACGGGCATTCCCGGCACCGACCTCCACCTGGCCAAGGCACCACCTCAGCCAGGTGCTCCTGCCCAACGCGCGACTAGCCGCCTCCCGCTCCCGGCTGCACTTCTCAGCTGTGCCTCGTTCTCTTTCGGACAGCAGAAAGTCAAACCCCAAGAACCCAACAACGAGGAGCCGGTTTGACCAAACTCTCCACTGTGCAATCCAGTTGAGGAGACCGGCTCAAGAACCAACCCGTTCCAGGACACAGAGGCTGCCAAGCGAGCAAGCACCCGACTGGATGTGTCCTCCATCCAGCATCCACAGCCAGGAGATGCAGCTGATTCAGTGGAGCTCAGAAGGACTCAGACAACAACCACGGCAGTACCGACATCGACCTTTCCGGGCCACGCGAGCCAGGAAGGAAAGGATATGGGTTACAGACCAGTTTGAGGCACCAGCTCCGCGGTCGAGTCGTCTGGTCGAGGCAGAAGAAGACGGTGGGGGCCAACGCAGGGTAAGGGACCTGGTTCTCTCCCTCGTGGACTGGATCCCGGGTGGACGATCCTGCCGAGGCCAGACTGTCCTGGATGGATTTACAAGCACTGAGGGTGTCCTCATCTTTCTCCTCCCCGGGCTGGGGTGCCTGACCGGTGGCTGGTCCAGAAGCTATGGGTACCCGTACCTCATCACTCGCCAGCGGCTGGAAGGGTTCTCTTCTCTCGCCATCAGTCATGATAGCAGCCGACGCCTGTGGGAAGCGGGAGAACGAGGTGAGGAAAGGGTGCCGTGTCCTCTGGAACCCAACAGGAGTCTCTCCTGTGGCCACCTGCTGGAGAACCGAAAGGCCACACATCGCCCTGTAGAGTCTTGGATGGCCGGCAGCGGCTCCCTGGCAATGCGGCTTTGTCCACCACACAGGAGGTCGGGGACGGAGCCCAAGCATCTGCAGGCCAAGCATGTGTCCTTCTGCTAAGTCAGGACCCTCCGCAACTGAGGGCTACAAGAGGATCTGGAAAGCACGCCCTCCGAGGTTAACCGAATCCCACATGCACAACTTTCTAAGCAGGAAGAAAACAACTGTGCAGACAGAAACTGGGAACCACGGCTTTGGAAGGGAGGGGAGGGAATTCAGCACAAGCTCCTTGGGGGGTCCGGGGAGGCCATGGGAGCTGAGTAGCAGTGAAGGAATGGAAGGGCTGGAATGCAAAAAAAGGTGATGGGGAGAGACAGGAAGGAAAGGAAAGCAAAACGGGCAGAGGGGGGTGGGGGGTGGGCAGAGCTGATACTGCCAGTAAAAAGAAACTGAAGGGGACTGGGGAAGGGAGGTCATTCCTGGGACAGTGGGGTCCCAAACAGCAGAGTTTTGTAGGAAAGAAGGTGGGGGGAATGTCTGCCCCCCTCCATAGGAAGGCCCCATTGTCCCCAGATACCAGAATGTGTTCCCCTCCCATACATCTTGATTTGGGAACCAAGTACTGCTGCTTCCTGCTTCCTGATCAATCAAGGTGCCAAAGAAAGCCCTGTTGGAAGGATGTGGGGTGGGACCAAGACAGCTGGGAACAATTTTAAGGCAGTGCTTCCTTGGGAGTAACAAGCCCCCCGGACAGTGCCGATGGATGTGGAACACTGGAGCTCTGTTGTAAAACTTTCCCTGTGTCCAAGGGCCACGTAAAGCCCTGTTCTGTATCAGAACTACGGGGGGGTTAATCTCTGCCTTTTCCACATCACCCTCCCAATCCAGATTTTGCCTGCAAGTCCCCCCCCCAGCTGTGAAGGGGGAGATTATAACAGGGGCTCCAAGCACAGAAAATGAGGGACACCTTCCCTGCTGAGTGACTTGCATGAACTTGGCTGTGGGTTTGGTGGAAAGAGAGTAACCGAGCTCTTCCCAGCTCTTCCCAGAGCACTGCAGTGGGGTTCTGGCCATACTGCACCAGCCCCAAATGGTCCCATCTGTCTTTGTCCTGAGACCAGTCAGGACACGTCCTCTGCCGTCCAAGCACACTTTCCTCTTGGATGCCATCGGAACGGAAAAGCTACTCTGGAAACCTTCGGCCCCTTCCCCACACGTCCTGCCCGGCATCGGCCATAATCACAGGCAGCCAGTCTCCTTCTCTAGGGTCTGTTTAGCTGTGTGTGCAAAGTCACAACAGAAAGGCAACGAAAGGGCTACGGCAGAGGGCACGGCGCCAGAGGAGGAAGGTGCAAGCAGGATGATGGAGGAGAAGTGGAAGAAAATAATCTCTCAGCATGAAAGCAGGTACTCCTTCGTGTAACCGTTGCTGGGGAACATGGGTGGGGAGGTGCACTGGCCCTCCTGGCCTGCTTTGGGATCCTGTGGGCAGCTGGCTGGATTCCGGACCTTGATCCCACCTTGGGGTTCTTTTATGTCCTTAACCTTCTGCGCAGGTCAAGGCCCAGAGATGCAGGACGTGGGAACACCAGCCCCCACGGGTGTCCAGGGGTCCTGAACTAGCGAGCTGCCCTGGCCATGTGGGGCAGGGGGGCTTTCTCTTCATGATGCAGCCCAATTCTCTTTAAACTTGCCCACTGCCAGAGCACAGCACGCTCCTCCCTAAATGAAGGAGACTCTTGGGAAGGAGGGAATCCCACTGAATCGAAACCCTATCCAAGACCCCAAAGATCCCTGAGTTTTCCCTTCAAGAAGAGGAGCCGGAGGGAGGGGGCAGTAACGGGAGCAGAACCTCCAGGGGATGCGTGGAGAGACGCCGAACTATCGCCACCACCGGTTCATATGGCAGCATCGAAATGCGAGGCTGGTTATAGAGGCACAGGCCTCTGCCCTGACGAGCTTCCAGTTCCCACGTGGTGGGCAGGAGGAGGGGAGTGGTCGAGATGGGGCTGAGAAGAGAAGGAGAGAAGTGAGCAAAGAGCCGGGGAGTGGAGAGCAGCAGCCGGAGCGAAGAGGTAGCCAGCGATGCTGCCAAGCGGGGAAGGAAAGGGTTACCCGCAGAACAGGGAAAGCAGCGCGGAGGGGAAGGAAAGAGTTAACGGGAGCAGAGGCAAGAACTGGAGGGGGCGAGGAAAGGGTTAATGAAGGCAGCGGACGCCGAAGGTGGGATGGATGGCGAGATGCGGGGAAGGAAGAGCGAGGCGAGCAAGGGGGAATCCGCGCTCCGCGGCTCTGCCTTCTCCAGGCTCCCGCGGGCGAGCTGCCTGGCTCCCCCCCGGGCAGGGGGCGCAGAGCGCCGGGGGACTCCCGGAGGGCAGCCCTGCCCCTCGCGCCCCCTCCCGCTGCCTCGTCTGAAAAGTCAGCCGTGTGTCCAACAAACCATTCCGAAAATCAGAAGGGGAGGGGGCGCGTGGTTTGGCCGGCGGCACCCCGGGACCCGGGCGCCGCTGCGCCCCTGGCCGGGAAAAGGCCGAGGAGGAGAGGAGAGGAGCGGAGACGAGAGGAGGGGGCGGGGAGGGTCCTTAACCTTGGCTTCTAGTTTTAGAAAGCGAGGGGGGAGGAGGAGCCAGCGGAGAGCTCGCGAGGGCGGGGCCGCCTTTTTTATTTAATTTGCGGCGGCCCCCGCCCTCGGAGGGACAGGCGCGCAGGGGGAGCGCGGGACCCCCGGCGTCGGCACGTCTCCTCGAAAGTAAGGCCCGCGGAATTCCGGGCTGGCGCTTGCTCGAGAGTAAGTCTGCAGAGGCTCCTGCGCGCGCGGACTCGAGCCCGACTGGACTGGGGGGGGGCGCCCCGAGGGGCGGGGGCTGGCGGGGAGGGGGCGGGCGAGGCAGCCTTTCCCCCGCGCGCTTCGCCGGCAGGGGTGGGCCGAGAGCGGGCTCCGATCTTACCTGAGTCGCACGGACCTCTGGCTTCCCACACGCATAGCCGTGCCTTGCCGTTCACATGAGCCCAAGCGGCAAAATCTACTTTCAAGGACTCCGAGAGGGGAGAGCGATCTATCCCCTCCCACCCCCTCCCCTGGGGATAGGAGGTCTCCGGCTCTGTCAATCCCACGAGCAGCTCCGGGGGAGGGGTGGGTGGCGGGGTAACGGAGGGGAGGCTCAGGCTGAGAAGTCGCCCGTCTCTGGACGCCCCCGAGGCATCCCTCGGCGCGTTCCTTGTCCTCCGCCTCCACGGACCCCTTCGCTTTCCCTTGCCCCTCTCTGCCTGCGTCCCAGAGGAAGGATGGAGAAGGAACGCGGGGTTCCGCTTCGACCCCGGCCGCCAACCCCTTGCAGGCGCGCTGGGGGGCGGGCAGCCGGCCAGCCACTTCCACAAAACCCCTTGCGGACGAGAGAGAGGCGGCGGCGCGGCGGAACGGCTGTGGACAACAAATGCGAGCGAGCGCAAGAGCACAGAACCGCACGGAGCCGGAGCGCGCTTCGCTTTTGCGCACACTGGAAACTTCAGACTTCTCCGGGGGGGAGGGAAGCGGGAAAAGGGGGAGGAGAGAACGCGGGGAGGGGGTGGGGAGGCTGGGAAGCTGGAATCCTGGCCACGAGAGAACCAGCGGCTGGAATCCCGGCCGCGGGAGCGCGAAGAGAAAGGGCTCGCACCCCGCCAAGCAGCGCCGGGGCGGCGGGCCGGGGCGGGCCGCGCGCCTCGGAAAGAGCGCCATGCGTAAAGGAAGGCCGGGCGCACGGCCGGGGAGCGCCGTCGCCTCTCCGCGGCTCCGGGAGGGGGGGCGCGGGTGATCCCCCCCGTGCGTAGAGAGAGGTGGGAGCGCGCGCGCCCCGGCGTGTGCGTGTGCGAGAGGGGCGCGTGGGTGGGGTTCGCGCGCTTCCTTCCCCCCAAGCCGCCGAATGCTCCTGCCCGCCCCCGCTTCCTCTCCTCTCCTCTCCCTTTGTTCTCGCTGCAAACGGGCGCCGCTCAAGGTGGCCGCGCGCTGCGGGTCGGTCGGTCGGCCGGCGGCGCAGAACTTCGCGGGCGCCGCGGGGAGGGGGCGTGAACTCCTCCCAGGTGCTCGGGCGGTTCCCGGGAAGGGAGCGCGCGGGGTGGGGTCCTGGGAAGATGGCCGGTGCAAACGGGGTACCTCGCTGCCTCCCCTCCTCGCGGCGAGGCGGACTAGCGGCCCATCTGGAAGTCGGCTCTGCCCTCGCCGAGAGCGTGGAAGGCGCGGCTCCCGGCGTGGATGGATGGAAAGCGGATCCAGCAGATGCTGAAGCGGAGGAGCGCGCGGGGTGGAGAAGGGTCCCCAGCCGCGTTGCCCACGGAGCCACGGTTTCAGCCCATCTGGCGCATTATCTCCGTCTCTCTCAGCCTTGGCTTGCAGAGAATGCCAGCCGCTTTCAGCCCCCTTCCTGACCACCCCGGGAGACCCTCAATTTCACAGTGCCCCTTCCCCATCTTTAAGTGATTTAGAAATTCTGCCATTTCTAGACATGGAGTAGGTTGCTGGAGGGCCATAGCTGGGAGGTGGCTCTGAAGTCGAGTCTCTGCCCAGGGTTCTTTTGTGGCCAAGGAAGAGGCTTCACTGCCTAGAGGCACCCCTTGGACCCCACTGTGAACTTGGAGCTTCTTTCAAAAGGGCCACGTCACGGGACACAGAGGCCGGCTGCAGAAGACAGCCTGTTTTCTCGAGTGTGTGCACACAGCCAGGCGGTGGCTTGAGCTACCTGGGGAGGTGGTGGGCTCTCCCACTCTGGAGGCCTTCAAGATGCAGCTGGACAGCTCTGAGAGGGATGCAGCTCTGAGAGGGATGGCTTGACTGGGAGTCCTGCACTGAGCCGAGGGTTTGGCCCGACGGCCCCTTCTAGCTCTGCAATTCTACGCATCCCAATCAGCTGATGAAATTATCTGGAGGCTTTAATAAGCAGCAAGCAGAGCAGGTAATGTTCCATCAAGCCGTAGGCTTCAGGTTTAACAGGAGAGGAGAGACCCAGTAATAATCAAAGGACGAAGGCCCCTTCCCCACCAGCTGACCAGATGCACGATCGCCTGGGACCTTTACAAAATAGGCAGATTTATGGTAACCGGCGATACTCAGTTTGCAAATGCGGGCTCACTGCTCTTCATCGCTGGTTAATAACCGAGGATGGATGGGAAATGGAGGCCACTGTGCCTGCAGAACGGGGCCAAGACCAACAGAAAACACTCTGCAAACACGCGCACACGCACACTGCTTAACCCCTGCAAGGAACCCAGCCTGATCACGAGGGTTCTGTTATCCTGCTTACAGCTACGCTGAAAAGCCAAAGAACAGGCCAGGACAGGACGGAAGGCTATGTGCTCACCCTGTGGAGAGGGCCAGAACCCGAGAAGGAAAACTGCTCCGGGGGAATCAATTGGTCAGCTCAGGAGAGGGTTTGTGCTTGATCTGGGGATGCCGGTTGTGTGCATGGAAACTGTGTTCGTATTGCCCATAGCTCTGTGCTTTGAACAGGAGGAGGAGGGGGGTGGGGGCTGACCTTGCCTTGATGGCAAAGAGTGGAGGGAGGGAGGGAACCAAGGGAAAGTATTGGGGGGACAATCATAGTCCCCCAGTGTCAGGAGGTGTTCTTGGCTGCCTCCCCAGAGACAAGCCTTCTGCATCCTTCCCTCCCCGCCCCCAAAAGGGAGTCTTCCGTAGGACAGCGCCCACCGTGGCCAGAGAGGCTCCTCCTGGCTCATCGGAGCTGCCGAGAAAGTGCAGCTGCTGCAGCAGAGACCTTCAGGAATGATTTGTGGCTGGCACTGCCTCCTCCAGCTGGCCTTTGGACGGGCCACTGAACAGTCAGGACCGGGCAAGCTGGGGGCGGGGGGCGGGCTACACCCTCTGTGGCAATTTGTAGAGGGCGGACCCTCCACTCAGGGCCCCAAGCCGAGTGTCTGGAGCAAGCGGTGAGGCGGTCAGGCAAGGACGGGCAGCCAGGGGCCGAGTCTCTTCTCCGCATGCCTATGGGAGGCCTGCTCTCGGCCTGGCATTGTGCGCTCCTGCAGGCCGCAAAAAGGCCGCGTTCACTGAGCCTGCCTCCCCCGGCTGGGAATCGAGGGCAGGCACATCTGCCCAGAGAGCTCTGACTGTTGGGAGGTGGAGAAATTGGAGAAAGGAAGAAAGCTGGTGGCAAGGGGCTGCACTCGCTGAGTCAGTGCGAAGTCCCCCGAAGATGGAGGGCTCAGGCTGCAGGACCACCAAAGAGGCCAAGGGGAAAAGAGAAGGAAAGGCTTGTGCTGGTTCAGGCCCTGCTTTTGCATCGGCACAGACCGAGTTGCGGCACTGGGCGCCATTACACAGCACGGCGTCCTGTTCGCTGGGAATAGGTGGGCGGCAGCGGGAAGCCCGCGGGCTCCAGGGCCCCGTGAAGGCCAAGCCGCTGCGAGATGCTCTCGGGGGCTCCAAGGCTTCCCCCGCAGCCGCGTGAGGGCAGAAGCCAAGTTCGAGGGGGAAGCGCGCCAGGGGGAGGAAGGGGCTGCTAATGCCCTGCCAAGGGGAGCAGGGCCCTCCAGGACGTTCCCACCTCATCACCAATGGCACACCACGACAGCGTTTGGTCACACTCACCAGCGTTTGGTCACACGGCAGTGGAAGCCTTTTGTTCCAGCTCCATTGCACACGCCGCAGGAGACCTGGGTCCACCCCGGGGTGGGAACCTGCCCCCTCCCCAGCCCTGGCAGCGGGGCACACCCACCCCGTGAGGGCAGAGGGCTGGTGGAGAGCGGAGCCTTACCAGTCCAGAAGGAAGCTGTTGGGAGCACGGGCCCGGGGGAAAGCCAAGGTCAAGCCCAGGCAGATGGCCCGAGGGCAGCAGAGCCCGCAGGCTGGGCCGGCCGGGGGTCGGGGGGGGGCAGCCTGGCTGCCTGCGTAAGTGGCCAAGGCAGGAGAGGCGAGCTGCTTCCGGCAGCCTGCCTGCTCCAGGAGGGAGGCCGCCCCGCCCAAGCCTCAGCTGCAGCTCATCAGAGGTCTGGAAAAAAGGCCCTCATCAGGGGAGGCCTTTACTCATGAGGAGTCCCCGTTGCAAGCACACGCACCTCTCCTCGCGCTGCTGTCCTGAGCTGCCTCTGCAGCTGCCACCACCCTGGGGCTGGGGGTCTCTCGGCCCCCATCCGAGTGCCCAGCTTCCGGGGGGGGGGGCAGCGGCATCGCTCCCGAGGACGCAAGCTCTCCAGGCTCGCTCAGGCCCTGCTGCCTCCCCTCTCTGGGGGCGCCCCTGAGAAGGACGCCCCAAGCTTGGGCATAATGGGCCAAGCAGCTATGCGTTGGGGAAGCACTGCCCAAAAACAGCGCCCTGAGCCTGGGCGAGCTGGCAGAGAAAAAGAAGGCAGGTTTCCCACACAGGGGGGCATGTCTTTGACTCTAGAGGTCGCTGGCCTCGGTCGGTCGGGCTGCTGCTTGGCTTCTGCAGACCAACAGTTTGGTAGCTCATGGCTTTGAGCACAAACCACCCCAGGAGGGGCGAGGATCGTGCTCGCTGGCCAGCAGTGCGCTGTTTACTGGTGATTAAGGAGCAGGCATCCATCTCCAGCTAGCAAGTGAACTTTTTTTCCTAGACAGCGAGGCATAATGGCATCCACAGATGCATTTTGGATCTCTCCTTCCCTCCCAGCAAGACCTCTGTATTTTATGGAAAGTATTTTGTACGATTCTTTTCTTCTGGGCTACACATACTTAGGTTGCTTGTTTTGGAAGTAAATGTGTGTGTGTGTGTATACTGTCTAAACGAAGCCAGAAATAAATATGTTGAACTTGAACTCGACGTCTCCCAGGAGGCCAAGGAACAAGATGAAACTGGAACATTTTCCCTGCTGTGCTTTCAGGGTTTTGCTTTCCCGGGTTTCTGAAAAAGCCTGGGGGAGACACAGACAAGGGGAAGCGCTTCTTCACACAATTAGTGGGGGGGGGGGCTTTCCTACCACAATGTTGTGTATGTGGAGTAGGGAATGACAGTTCGTTTGGATAGCTTTAAACTGGGTTGTGCTCCTTGCGTCTTTCCAGAAG